ACTTTACTACAGGTCTTAGAATTCAGGGTTAGGGTAATGGGATTCAGGGTGAGAGAAAGAGCAGTTATTTAGAATCTGGTAGAAATCTCTGGCCTGACTGGCGCGCACGCGCACACACACAAACACACACACACACACACACACACACACACACACATGCTTTGGAGGTGTGCTCACACTAAGAGGAGCTGATGTAATCACCAATGTTCACAAGTACCAACAGAAGCACTACCTGGATTCAGAAATAACACCAGCAATGGCTGATGATTGCAATGCAAGAAAGTTGGTAAAAGTACCTTTCCCCCTAATGGACATCTATATGAAATAAGCTTTGGGTCCCCCAAATATGTTCTTTCCCTGTCTTCAGAATTATGTCCGTGTTCATTTTGGTTTTTGTAAATGTCCGTTTCCAACATCCGTGGGCTTGGCTTCCAGCAGCATTTTCTATCAGCATGAACCATGTCTCTTTTATATACAAGACAACCCTTAGTCCCTGTTGTGTTGCTTTCAGGCTTCACTTTTCCTTCCCTTTTAAAGGATGCATCGCCCCTCCTCTCGTTCTTCCACTAGAATGAATGGTCCCGCACTTTCCCTCCGCCCTTTAGATCTTGAGTCTCACATTCTGTTTCATGTTCAGTCTTTCCCTCTGTTTGCTAACATTCTTTGTCTCCTCTATACTGAAAACAAAACAAAACATACAACCCCACTACCTTCTCCAAATCTCATCTTTTCTTCTTCTTCTCCTTCATCAGGTCTCATGTCCTTTCTTAGTGCGTTCTCTTTGCTTGCCTGTCTTTGTACCATTGACGTGACTCTCTCCCAAGGGCATCAGCACTCTCCTTCCTTCTCAGCTCTGCAGTATTTCCCATCCTCTCTGGGCAGCACTAAGTGCCATTGACTACCTGGTCTTGCTTTAAGCACCCAACTTCCTTGGCACTCCCCTGTCCTGGTCTTCTTTCTGTCCTCTGAACTATTATTTCTCTGCCTCCTTCTTCGGTTCTCCCCATTTCATCTTCTAGTCTCAGGCACTCATGAGAGTTTTACGTTTGCCTTTCACTTTCCCACTCCCTCCCCTTCTCTTTCTTCCCCTTGTTCTCTGAGTCCTCAGTGGTTTCATTCTCTCACCAGTCCAACTTTCCCTTTTATGCAGTTTACTTTTCTAATTTATACCCGTGTCTCACATTTCCACCTGGATATCTAAACAAATCCACCAACTTCTTATTTCCTCTCCCCCTAATCCTTGTAATGGCAACAAAGCTAGTGAAAACGGCATGAATTTATGTGCCAAAAAAAAAAAAAAAAATGTGGATCTCAATTCTGCCTCATCCACCTACCATCTCTAAGACTCTGGAAAGAGCTCTGTGAGCCTTGGGTTCCTCATCTGTAAATTAGAAATCATAATCCCTACCTTACCAGGTAATTGTGAGAAAAATAAGATGGCGTGCATATGTAGTATATGGTATGTGCGCAGTCCATTGTAAGAGTTCTAAAGGAATTGCTGTTCTCCAGAAATCCAAACTCAAAATGTAAGACTCATCTTGGACACTTCCTCATCCCCATTCCAACTCTCCACCGGTTTTACCTCTTCACAATGGCTTGTAAATGCTTGTCCTCCTTTGCATCTGAGTGTCACCACTTTGGGTTGGGTTCCCATTGTCTCTGTTGAGAAGTGATATTGAAATGGTTTCCAGTCCAGTCTCTGGCAGCCATGCCACCCTTCATCCAAGTTCCAGAATTCACATCCGAAATCATGGCCCTGACCCCACAAAGAGATGATAGAGTATCGTGGCCCTAAAATCATACAGTCCAGAGCTCAAATTTGTCACTTGCCTGCTACGACCTTGAGTGAGCAACGTATTGTCTCCATGCCTCGATTTCTTCATCTGTAAAATGGCAATACTTAACAGTGTTTTCAAGGTTGCTGTGAAAATTCAAAGAGCGAATAGGTATCATGTTTAGAACTGCCTGCAGCATGGTAGGTGCTTCCTAACTGTTAGCCATTACTATTATCTCTGCATTCCCTGCGACAACTAGCCTCTGGGAAGTGTTCAATAACTTTATATACTGAGTCATTCATAATCTCTCCCTTCATTCTCCTTGCTCACTAAAGATATATCTGAGAGTGACTGGCCAAGACGTGGGTGTCATTGGTCTCCAAGGACAAGAATTTTTCCTTTTTATGAAGGTACCTTGCCTTTAAAGAGATAGAAGGAGTGGCCTTGGCTTCCTTGGCACCAGGCTCTAACAAATTGGGAGAATCAGCCTGCGGAGTCCCCCTGCCCACCTCCAAAGACCCCTCCCGGCCCTGTCTGTTCTGGAATATTTGCAGGATTCTCCAACCCACATGGGGAACACATTCATCTGGAAGGCATAAGGTATTAACTCCTCTTTTCACTCATTGTGGCAGAAACCAAGTTTCCACTATAAACACAGACTCCAGAAAGAGCCAATCAGAAAGCAGATTATATCCCAGGAGTCAGTAGCCTCTTTAGTCTGGAGGGCTGCCAGCAGGGCTACACTCTACAGAAAGGAGTGGTGGGGGAGGGGAGGTAATGGGAAGGAGTGATGGCCTAGGGATAAAGCAAGCAAGCAAGAAAGAAGAAAAAGAAGAATGTGAGCGAGAAACCAGATGAAAAATTGAGGAAATAGAAATAAAACACAAGGAGAAAATAAAGAGGTTTCCATATTTTGAAGGATTAGGAACTAAATCAAATATATTCACTCTATTTCCCAATTGTCATTTCAGGATGTACCATGTTCCACCCCCAAGGACATTGAGAAGCTTCCGGGGGGTGGCTGTGCATTCTTAAAGAAAAGGGCCTCGTAGAGACTCCAGCCTTTATTGTCGGCTGCTGTACTTTTTAGCGTATACACTATCCACACTATGACACGTTTTATTGAGTTATATGTGATAGTCCGCATCGTAGAACTATTGATGCAGAATTTTCCTTCCCAGAGCTCAATATTCCAACCAAAGCCTGTTGCTGCCCATCATCGAGGCCATCCACTTAATGACACGTTGTAGGATGCATATTGCAGAATATTCATGTTCATTTTATGCTCACGGTGCTTAAAATCTCCTCTAAATAGCCTCTGCTCCCAGGCTATTAAGGTGCCCATGTTATCTACACTCCATTCAATGGTGTGGAAATAATTGTCTTGAGAAAAAAAAAAGAGAAAAAAAAATTGATGGCCACAAGCCGAGTCAGCACTTGTGTTCTTTCCTGACTCCGTGGAATCAGGTGTTATTTACCTCTTCCAACACCTGGGACTCCTGATAAGTCACTCCCCTGGTAGCTCTTTCCAGGACAATGCTGTGGGGTCTTTGGACGAAGCAGGGATCCTTCATTAACCCCATTGTTATCAGCACAATTCGCACGGCTACCAGATGTGCAAAATCGAAACCACCAAAGACACTCAGGGAGAGGGGTTCCTCCGGCTCCATCTGGCCGCTCTGCAAGGTCGGAGCAAGAAGGGCTCCACTTAACGCCAGGCTCATCTACTTGTAAGAAGACGCTTGTATTTTGACAAATGGGGGTGCTTTTTGATTCCCCCACATCTGCTATCCCAGCACCTCCATCCCCGAGCCCTTCTCCCTACAAACCTGGATCCACTAAAAAGGCCCGCCTGTGAGAGACAGGCAGGACCTTACCTCCATCCCTTCCCTTCCTCTTATCTCTGGGATGAAGCGCCAGGATGCAGGCTGATGAAGGAGAGCGATGGCCCCTGGCAGCTGAGAGTTCAGCAACAGGGCTTGCGACTTTGCCTTTAAATATCAACCACACACACAGACAACACCCTGGCAGCATGAGAGGTTTCCATGGTGACAGAATGCAGGCCACGACCTCTGTAAATGTAATCAGAGCACGGGGATTGGGATGTGAGACAGGTTTAATTTCTCCGTCAGTGGAAGCTCTGTGGTCCAGGCCATACATAGCTTCGTAGGGTGACTGACAACCTGTTATCTTCGCCGGGGCGGCTCTGCCGATGGCAACCCCCTCTGCCCCAGAGCCGCTTCCTCCGCCCACTGAGCCGGCTGCAGGATATAAAAGGTCGCTGGGGACTGGAGTCATATCAAGACCTGGCCTTCCTGCCCATCATCCTCAGGCGGTACAATTGTCCCTTATACAGGGAACCGCTGTGGCATGGTCCAATGAAAGCCAGACTAGGCACTCAGAAGATGGGCTGAGGTGTTCATCTCTGCTCTGCCACCAACAGTGTGACCTTGGGCAAGTCATTTAACCTCCACATTTCAACATCTTCCACCAAGGGAGAAAATGCCTGGGGAAGAGAAGGCTTCCGAAGTTCCCAGGAGAAGATGGTACCCAGTTATTCTTAATGACTGTAGGTACTGCAGCCCTCAGTGGAATCCTGTCCCAGGAAGTGAATTTCCGTCTCATCAGTGCTAGTCACTAGGGCATCGAACCCCGATTCCATCTCTGTCCACAGAGTGTGCGGGGATTGCCCCTGAGGGCAGGACTTCCTCACCTAACTCCTGAATTAGAAACAAAACCAGGATGTGATTTTTTCTGAGCTGCCCCAGGGTAGGAGACAGAGCTTTGCACTAAACTGATGGGAAACAGAAGTTCAGAGAGAAATGTAGCAATGTCCCCGTGACACGTTTTATAACTGGGACTTCAGAATCCCTCGCTTTTTTCATCTATCCTCCATTAATCCTTCCCATCTGGCAATCATCGATTTGTTTTCTGTATCTATGTGTTTATTTGTTCATTTATTTTGTTTTTTCGATTCCACATATAAATGGAATCATGGGATATTTGCCTTTCTCTTCCTGACTTATTTCACTTAGCATAATACCCTCTAGGACTAGGTCCATCCATGTTTTCACAAATGGCAAAATTTCCTTTGTTTTTTATGGCTGAGTAATATTCCATTGTATATATGCACCACATCAATAATATTGTAATAACTAGGCATGGTGTTAGATGGGTACTAGGCTTACCTGATCACTTTGTAAGTTATGTAAATGTCTAATCACTATGTTGTACGCCTGAAACTAATATAATATTGTATATAGTATATAATTATAATTGAAACTTTTTTTAAGTTTTTTTTTTAAGAAAAAGAAATGTAGCAATGTTAAAGGAGAAACCCACAGCCTCTTTCTCTGAACTCTAGTCAGCCTCAGCAAAAAGCAGCTCTGGCCGTTTCAAAGCTGGCCTCCTCGGATTGCATTTGCCAGTTCACATGAGATGCTGGCAGACTTCAGTTACCAGTCACACTGCCTCCCTGATTCCTTTCATTGTTCCGATAGAGCGCTCCGGAAGAAATGACGAGGTTTGGACCGAGAAGAGATTCATAGGGCTCTATGACACATTTTCCTTCCCAAAGGCAGCTGGTCCAACAGATTCTCCTTCTGGAATCCCAGCAAAGAATTTCAAAATTTCAGAACTGGGAGGGACTTCTGAAACCACATAACTTACAGGGGCCCAGACTGGAGCAGTGATGTGCCTGAGTTTCAGAAAATTAACGGCCGAACCACAAGGGTGCCAGGGGCCCACCGGCTTAGCTGATGCTCATTTACCTCCTGGGTGCTTTTGAACTTCAGACTGAGTCAGAGAGGAAGTGGGGGAGGATTCAAAAGTGGTTATTGAACATTAGAACCAGGAAATGGTGCTTTGGCTGAATCTACAGATAAATAGCATTACCATTTCCTGTGTTAGCTGAGGCTAGAGGAGGGAAGACGGGGCAAGATTCTGGAGAAGACAATATGATAGCTAAGTGACAACCTGTGGGCTTCCACACAACTGTCCCCACTCAGTCCACGCTGTTTCTCTCAGCTCACTGAGGGGAGCAAGGATCTGATTGTTCAGGGTGTTTATTGGTTGGTGTCCAACATAGAATCATGAAATCAAAGATTGATGGAGTTTATAGGAACGCCAAGAGGATATCTAGTTTGGCATCCTGTCTTCCAGTGACTACAGCATCTGGGACAGGTCATTTGCTTCTCTTCCCTTTTTAACATCCAGAATTCCATGATCTCTAAGTACAATGACTTCCCAGCCTTTTCCCAGTATCTTTTTACAGTGTTTGATTACACAAGTGATAATGTACATCTTCTAAGTAGCTCATTTCCCTTTGCCCACGCTTAGATCATCAATGTGGCAAACACCAAAGGCAAGTTCAACTCCCAGGACTCACTGCGGATTTCAGACCAGAGTTGACATAGGCAGCAAAACGCCTGGTGTTTCAAGAAGGAAGAGGAGGAGACCTGTCAGTCTAAGATGTTAATATTCCAGCCAAGAGGATAACTCACGGCAGGGCAGTCATATTGCTTAGAGTCAAGGTTATGGGTTCAGTCCTCAGGTTCACAAGAAAAGGGAACAAAACACAACAAACCATTTCGTTTCTTTGAACTTCCATTAACCTTAACTACCAAGTGGCCTTGGGTATGCCTTTAGTCACAAAGGGAACCAGGAACGCCAGTGTGAACTCTTTCTTTCATCTATTCGCTCAACATTGATTAAGCACCTACTATGTTCAAAGCACTAGAACACAGACATGTAGAGGCAGTAGAGCTGCCCTCAAGAAACATACGACCTGGTATTGGTTGACTGTTCTCATCCTCGTGATCGGACCCCAACACACCACCTACAATGCTATATTAATATCATCTTTGTGCCAAAGTACAATGTCATACTCTTTAGAGACCAAAATACTTGCCTGTTTAATGTTTCAGTATTAACTGAGCACCCAAAGATGTTTAGTGCCAAAACAGAGGCTGCCAAATAAATGCTCAATTAATGTTTCATGTGGACCTCAAGGTGCAGGCTAAGGTCTATCCTAAACAAACATCAGGATATGGTTTGAGGTATGTTATAAGGCCATCTGCTCCCAAATATCTTTTCCCATCTGATGTGCTACAATGCTTAAAATTTTGCCATAAGGGCCTTAACTTTGAGTAAGGTATTGCCTCCAACATGCCTGGGTGAAAAGGAGCATACTCAATCAATTTCATTTCAGCAGACATGAACTGAATACCTGGTAGGTGCCAGGAACAGTGTCAGATAATAAAAATGCATAAATGAATAAGATAGGAATTACCTGGCAGGGCTAACACGTTGCTACTTTCCCAGTCTTTATCCCATTAATACACATCAGTTTATCAGATTAGTAGCTGTCCTGAGGGGCTGATGTAGGACATGGGCAGGTAAATTTTGATAGGACATGAAAGCAGGAAATGTCTAAGACACTGAACTTTACCCAAGAGAATTCAGGCCTGGGTGAATATGAACGCCAATTATAATGACTGTGTAACAAAGAAATATGGAGAACAACAGGGATCTGAAGGCAAGAAACTTTTATTTCACAATTTCTTCCCTAGGAATTCTGTCTGTGAAATTGTGAAGAAGGAAAAAGTAATTCATGCTAGCTTGCTGAGAAAGAAACTGCATTTACATAACTTTTATTGCAGTATAGTTTTAATTACTCTATTTTTAAGTATTTTTTAAAATATAATTTTATTGATTTCAAAGGAGGAAGAGAGAGATAGAGAGAGATAGAAACATCAATGGTGAGAGAATCATTGATTGGCCTCCTGCACGCCCCACACTTGGGATCAAGCCCACAACCCAGGCCTGTGCCCTGACAGGGAATCGTGATGCTCAAACACTGAGCCACGCCAGCCAAGCTAACTGTCCTATTTTACTATTAGTTATTACTGTTAATTTCTTACTGTGCATGATTTAAATTTTATCACAGGTTTGTATAGGAAAACACATAGTATATATAGGGCTTAGTACTAGCCATTGTTTCAGGCATCCACTGGGGTCTTAGAATATATTCCCTGAAGATAAGGGGGGGGGGGCTGTACTCTATCATCTTCAGTTTCAGACTTCTTTCAATTTCTCAAATGAGTCACACCCTCTCCCACTTTCATTTTTTCAGATGTGCTGTTCCCTCTCTCTGCAACACTCTTCCCCCTACACCTCATTCAGCTTCATGCTTCAAGTCTCACTGTAAACGGAAGTTCTTCTGGTAATCATCGTTGGCTTCCTAGGCTGTCTTGTTTCCCTCTCACACATTCCTGTAGCATTTAGGGCCTCTCTGTAATTATTTATCTACCACCTGTCTTCTCCCCCAATTGCAAGCTCCTTGAGGGGTCAGACCTTTCCTATCTTGTTCACCACTGTATCCCTAGAGCATAGTAGGTCCTCAACAAACACTTACTGAGGAAATGCTGCAAGGTAAGTCTATTAGGGTTTTTCTAATATTTTTTTATTTTGAAATCATTGCCAACTTACCTAGATTCACCTATCGTTAACGTCTGCCACATTTGCTTTATTATTTTCTACTTAAATAAATTCACATATTTTTTCCTGAATCATTTGAGAGTAAGTTACAAACATCCTGATCCTTTTTCCCTAAACACTCAGTAGTATTCCTTAAGAATGAGGACATGCCCTTAAATAACGTCCCGTACAG